GAACAACCGTCTGAGTCATAGACTTAAGTTCCCTGTCAGAATGGCGATTACATGCTGATGAATGGTGAGGAACTGACATTAGGAATGTTTAACAAATCTTAAGCTAAACTGGACGCCGGAAAACGACCTTTTGAAGAAAATGAGTGCATTCCGCTTCTTTGACGGATTTAGCGGCATGGTCTGTTAAAAGGTTATACAACAGCATTAAAGAACTTCAGCAGTCTCTGCTACAGGATAAATGCAGACCCTAGCTTCAATTTTTCCCTCTAGTTTCGTGCTCGACCCAAACTCATCATGACAGATTTACCACAGTGACAATAGGAGATTCATCCGTACTAACGGTGAAACCATTCGGCCAGAGTTAAACAGGAAGATCACGTAAGTCTCGAGTGCTTTCGGAAAACTGTCGAAAATTTCGGTTAACAAACATGTATCTTTCCACAAAAGTCCGCTTGTAAGCCACAGTCAACTCAGTGCAGTCGTATGGCATGGAGACAGTTCACCACTCCGTCAGGAGTTGTGGCTGATTCGATTTCCGTTTGAAGTCCATACGCTGTTTCTCCATTAGACCGAAATTGCTCAGTGACTTACGCATGTTACTCAAAGCATCGATCGAGGTCACTCGCCTCTCTCCCCTCTGAGACCCATAAATGAGTATCACTTTAGAGAAAGGAAACGGAAAATTACACGCGGTGCTTGCTACACTGCTGCTGTAGACTCTGCCCTTAAAAGAAGACACTCATTGGCTGATGGCATGGCAACGAAGATCAGCACCACACCACTGTCTTCAAGAAACAAGGGCGCCAGGAATGGTTTCATCATGAAAGTGTAATACCGGCACTGCAACGGTTGTACTTTCCTTTCCTTCTCTCCTTTGATGTATTGCTCGGGTAGAATGATGCATCGCGGGACCGCCATTCTATTCGGTTCTTGAACGACTAAAGCGACGACAAATCCGTACATCGGATATTGCTATCGAGCAATGAAACGACCACTCGAACTCAGGTTTCGAACCGGTGAAGATTTGGCCAGGCATCGATCGATCGATCGATCGGCCTCTGTCGATGAAGTGACAATTTTCCCAGTGTGACACGGTTGTGTCGTGAAGATTTTAAAACGACAGCTGACAAGCATGAACAGCTTACTGTAGATTTTCGCCCTGCACCTCCGAGAGGATGTTTTTGACGCGGAACAACAAACTAGGCGAATAAAATGTTGGCGTTAAGGTAAGTTTACAGGCGTTCTGTGCGCTGACGTGGCAAAAACACTGACGTGCTTCCTCGTCGTAACTCAACGTAACTCGAAGTTGCCGTCAGCGATGGATCGTTATCGATGATGCGCGTCGATTTCGGGCGATTTCGCAGGCCGTCCAAGACACCGAATGGCTTTTCTCACAAATTTATGCCACACAAATAAGTAGTTCAAATGTAATTCGCGGTGAAGTACTTCGCGCTTCGATTATGGCTGACATAAAAGACTGCAGAAACGAGGAAAAGGTTTATCTGTCTTTCGGTCCATTATTTTCCCTCATGAAAAAACAGTCCATACGGCAAATACATCTTAAGGAAGGAAGGGAAAGCAAGGTCAATTCTGGAATGTCCTTCTTTGCTGCTTCTTTTCATCAAGTTAATAGTGGGGAGGTGATCTCCATTTCTCTATCAGCAGCCAAGAGTGCTTCATTTTCTAAAGGCAGAGGCGACAGTAGCCATGTGGCAAGCATAGTGTGGAGTCCCCTGTTTCCTCAGCGCAGAATGGTACTCATTTGAAAGAACAATGGAGAGAGAGACACCGATCGGGACCGAACAATGGGACTTCTCCATTCTGAGTCCGACACTCTACAGATCGAGCAACTCCAGTCTTATATCCTTAGGAGTTACAGCAACGAACTTGAAATTACATACTAGTAGTGATCGAAGAACTTTCTGCCAATTGTTACTAAACGTCGGATCTGTAAACGCCACAGCTTCATGTTTAGGATAGCCACCCATGGCTGCAAATGACCCGAACAATGACCACCTCAGCCAAGATCTTTACCTTGAAGAATGATCTGAGTCATAAACCGTAACGTCGATATCGGTCGATCATCCGATGAATCATCTTTTAAGCTCTGCATAGAATAAATCGTTTTGACTCCTTTTTTCCACAAGAATATCAATAGCGATTACAACTATAATAAACAGAGTTCTGAAACTCGGCAGTAACAAATTTTGCAATGAAGAAATCCAACAAATATATTAAGTTAATCATGAAAACTGAAAAGTGCACAAAATCTGTTATTTATAGACAATGCTGTTCATTTTTTACCACCCCTTCTCCTTTCGAGTCGCAGATGTAGATGCGACAGACAATGCTTCCAATGTTCCCGATCCTGTGACAGGGTCTGAGCTTCAGCAGAAGACAACCGGAGTCAAGAGAAGACTCCTTCGATATATTTGCACCAAGTTAATCTTGGTCGAACCCTGGGCTTTCTGACAGTTGGTTGGGTAAGAAACAGTTGCTTAGCTTTCCTTTCTGCAGGCATTCGCAACACGTGCCCAAACCATCGCAATCGTGACTTCTCAATCTGAAGAAGCGGATGTGTGTCAAGGCTCTCGCGGATTTATGTATCTCTGGAACATGTAGAGAGATGTAAAGTCAGCCAGCCACTCGTCTCATAAAGCACATTTCAACTGCTTGCACCCGGGATCGCAGTTTTTTACTCAAGGTCCGCGAATCGTGATCGCAGGTAAGCATGGGGATACAAATCTACATGAACAAAGACAAATGTAATATCGTCCAGATGACTGGACCACTCCCTATTGTCTCCCTTATTGAATAAGGATACCAGATCCCCTATTCTCCAGTCCGCTGGTGTCTTCTCTGTTGCCACTGCAATTTGACAGACATGTGTAGAGCAGCACATGCTCTGTTCGCCCAATGCTTGAAGCATTTTAGGGCAGATTTCATTGATTTTAGTAGTCTTTCACTTTTTCATGCTTTTCACAGCTTCAGTGATTTTGTATATGGAGCTACTAATATTCATTCCTTGCTGCTCTCCAGGCAGCGAGTCTTCTTGCGGTTGCTCCGGTCAAGAAGTTCTTCAATGAATTCTCTATATCGCTTAAGAATGTCCTCATCTTCGGTAAGAGTGTGTCCAAACCTGTCCTCATCCTGTGCCCGGATTCTTACACTACCGTTCTTTTCACCTCGGAGGCGGAGGACGGTCTGTCAGAATGCATTGTTTGCCGTCTGAAAATTGGACTCAATACACCTCCAGAAATCAGCTCGGGCTTTCGCTGCCGCCTTGAGCGCTTCCACATGCTGCAAGCGAGTTGAAGGCTCTTTGCTCTTAAGCGGTCTCTTGAATAGAGTCTTCGTTTCTGTGACAGCAAGTTG